AGGCCCACCCCCCCCCGAGCGGCTCTGCTGCAGGGGTAGGGCGAGGGGATGGGCAGGGGCAGGGTGCAAGGGGATGGGCGTAGGGCAAGGGTTTGGGGTAGGGCAGGATTAGGGGCAGGACAGGGTTGGGTTAGGGGGCAGGATAGGTTTAGGGGGCAGGGGGGAGGGTTGTGACTAGGGGATGCTGGCAGGGACAGGGTTAGGGGTAGGACCTGGGTGAGGGTTATTGCAAAACACTATTGAAACCCCCAGACAGCGACGATGGGCGTAGGGCAAGGGTTTGGGGTAGGGCAGGATTAGGGGCAGGACAGGGTTGGGTTAGGGGGCAGGATAGGTTTAGGGGGCAGGGGGGAGGGTTGTGACTAGGGGATGCTGGCAGGGACAGGGTTAGGGGTAGGACCTGGGTGAGGGTTATTGCAAAACACTGTTGAAACCCCCAGACAGCGATGCCAGGGGCCCTGCACATGTGCGGGGTGTGAGCAGGGCAGCGTGCACGCGTGGGGTGAGGGTAGGGGGTCATGCACACGTGGGGTGTGAGCAGGGCAGCGTGCACAGTGTGGTGGAGGATCAGTCCCACCATGGTGGCCACCTGCCGTGCGCCGTAGCATGTTGCCGCTGGCTCGGGCAGTCTGTCCTCACACCAGCTCCATGCTGTGCTGCACGTCGCCCCAGCTCCTGCCCCGCTGCGGCACCATCCCGTCCCCTCGGGACCCCCACAGCTGGGCTGGGGGCTGTGGCTGCCAGACATGGGACTGGGAGAGGAAGGGGCACAGGGGCTGTTGGCGCAGGTAGGGGACAGGGGGGACAGCTGGGGTGTCCCTGCGGGAGGTGGAGTTCTCCCCCCTGCTATGCCCCAGCTCAGCCCTGCGCCCCATGGTCTGTGCCTCAGTTTCCCCATGGGTTTGGGGCAGGGGGGGCCGGGACAGCCCCACGTGCAGCAGCCGCTGAGCCCCTCTTTCTTGGCAGCACTGAATGAGCCCACCATCGACTACGGGTTCCAGCGGCTGCAGAAGGTCATCCCCCGGCACCCCGGGGACCCTGAACGCCTCCCCAAGGTAGGGAACCCCTGCCCGGGGTTTGGCGCAGATGCTGTGCCCTGCTCTCTGCTGTGGCCGGTGACACCCACGGGTGCAGGCAGGGACACGCCATCTCCCATGGGTGCTGGGCACCACCTCGCCCAGACCCAGGGGTCTTCCCTGGCAAGTGCCAGAGGACCAAGGGACAGGGAGGGGGATGCAGAGCCCCTGTCCCCCCCGCCTTGGCGCTGGGTGCAGCCCGCAGGCTGGCCTGGCTCCCCGACTCTCAGCTCCCACTGTGTGGTGGGGTCCGTGCTGTTTGCCCCCACCCCCAGCAAAGCCCAGGGCAGGGAGGGCCATGGGGGGACGCAGGGAGGGCCATGGGGGGACGCAGGGAGGGCCATGGGGGAGCGCAACGGGTCCCTGCTGGGTCCCAGCCCCGTGGGTCCGCTGTGGGATGCTGGGCAGCGCTGGGCTGGGGCTCTGGGC